AAGTTTGATGACACTTGAGTCAAAAATGTGACCACCAGAGTGTTAACAAGGTTGTTCTATTTTTAGCTCCTGTGACCTACTTTTTCATTCGAAATGACCCATGTTCGAACTCATCTGAGCTATCATCTGGACAAGTATCCTGATAAAGTTTGATGATGATTGAGGCACAAATGTTACCATTAGAGTGTTAACAAGATTTTTCTATTTTAGCTCCTTTGACATAGTTTTCATCCGAGATGACCCATGTTCGAACTCATCCGAGCTATCACCTAGACAAGCATCCTGACACAGTTTGGTCACGACTGAGGCAAAAATGTGACCACTAGAGTGTTAACAAGGTTTTTCTATTGTTAGCTCCTTTGACCTAGTTTTTCATCCGAGATGGCCCATGTTCGAACTCATCCGAGCTATTAACTAGATAAGCATCCTGACCAAGTTTGATGATGATTTGGGCAAAAATGGGGCCGCTGGAGTTTAACAAGGTTTTTCTATTTTTAGCTCCGGTGACATAGTTTTTCATCCGAGATGACCCATGTTGGAACTCATCTGAGCTAACACCTAGACAAGCATCCTGATCAAATTTGATGATGATTGAAGCGAAAATGGGACCGCTAGAGTGTTAACAAGTTTTTTCTATTTTTAGCTCCGGTGACCTAATTTTTCATCCGAGATGACCCATGTTCGAACTCATCCGAGCTATCAACGAGATAAGCATCCCAATCAAGTTTGATGATGATTGAGGCAAAATGTGACCGCTAGAGTGTTAACGAACAAGTGTGGACGGACGACGGACATTCAACGATCCTAAAAGCTCACCCTGAGCTAGCTTAGGTGAGCTAAAAAGATAATAGGTCAAACAATGTAAGAAATATCAAAAGTAGGCCAGCTGATATCAAACTTCAACTCAGAATCAGAAAAAAAAATCAGATAAAAGACTACCTAAGAATGCTAGCGCTACAGACAAAGTTTGGTGCTCATCCATCAATTATTTCAGGAGAAGATGATGTTCAATAGTTTTTCTAATTTTAGCTTTAGCGGCCCCTAAAAGGGGGACCAATCAAATTCATATGAGCAAATTTGATAAAAGACTAAGAATGCTACTGACAACGATTGGTGATCATCCATAAATTAGTTCTGTAGAAGCAGATGTTTAAAGGTATTTTTATTTTTAGCTCTAGAGACCCCTAAAAAGGGTCAATCAAATTAATATGAGCAAATTTGATACAAGACTACCTAAGAATGCTACAGATAAATTTTGGTGATCATCCATCATTTAATTAAGTAATAGGAGATGTTTAAAGGTTTTTCTATTTTTAGCTCTGTTGACCCCTAAAAGGGACAAATTAATGGCATGAGCAAATTTAAGTGTGACTGTCACAAGGGTGATACAGACCAAATTTGAGGTAAATCTGCCCATCAGTTTCAGAGAAGATGATTGTTGACGCATGACGATAGACGACGGACGCCGGAGTATTCCCCTTTGATCCTGAACCTTCTGTTCTGGTGAGCTAAAAAGCCGAAAGGGGGAGGGATACCGGGCATACAAAACCCTATAAGGGCAATTCCCTAGCAAAACAAAAATGACAAAAATGAAAACAAGCAAATGGAACACACTGTATACATTTTTAAAACAGTATGTTCTATAAAATAAGTGATTAAAGACCTTCTAACAATAATAGAATTAGTTTTTCAATTCATCATTGACAAAATAGTTAATTTTCAAAAATGTATATGTGCAACAACAAAGTATTGACCATGATGCGCGAAATTGGTTCTAGGAAGCGGACACAAGTATCGCCAGTATAACAAAATGTCTATTCGCCACCGGCAACAAAGTGCAAATTAAGCACACACAACAAATGAGATCTAGTATTTGAAAGTTCATAGAACATATCTCTGGAGTCGCACCATGGCCGAATTATCTCTGCTGGTGGTTTTGGCTCAAGAAGTTATCTTTTAGATACAACTTTCCAGGTACCAAGAAGCACTAGTTGTCTTTAAGCAATCGCCTATGTTGGTTATCCTGAAAACATCAAGGAGAACAGAAAAAAACGAAACTACAATGACGCTTATATAAAATTTGAGCTCAAATCTTTAACGCTTCACACTGGTCGTGTGACCAAGGATGGCGGATTGGGTTTTTCCCAAATTTATTTCTTCAATTGTCAATCGCAACTTTTTGGCCCTTTCCGTCAGTCTTCGGACAGGATAGTATGAATTCACTGAACGGATACAGATTCGGTCTAACCTATGCTAAGGAACTAAACATGTGAACTAATAGTAATTTAATTCTGGGATTTATTGACAAGTTTTTTTCCAATATATCAATTATAATTCCACCTAAAATAAGCAAATTCAAAGATATAAAAGTAAACAATACATTATCTCTATACTTGTTATTATGGTTGAAGATACCACAGTACAAAAAACCAACCTGTTGACATCATGTCGGATTTGTTTATAATTGTACTTTAGTGGGCATTTTTAAATTAAAAATGGTTGTCAGACATATTTTCAATCATAAATGTATCGAAATATACTATATTTTCGTTTGGATGTCATAATTATACATTTGTTTTATCGAAGATAACACTTTACATCTGAAACCACGTGGTAGAACTTCTTCCGCTCCGTATTGTTTCATTTTCTATAGTGGCATTTGTAAAATCATTGGTGTGATACATGTGAATTCAGAGAAACTGCATTTACAAATAAACCTATGAGTCATTAAGTCACCTTATATTGACAACTATCAAAGAGTCGTTATAAGTGTATGATCCTTTCTTACGTTAAATTTGTTTTGATCACTATTGATATGGTATTGTATTGGCTCTAAAACGCCTTTTGTTGTGCGTTATTACGCCTCTTTGGTTCTTGTTACTACGCCTTTCTCTATTCTCGTTATTTTCCCTTAATTCGCGTTACTTAACCTTTTGTTTACCGTAATTACGCCTTTTGATTCGCGTTGAAACGCCATTTGTTTCGCCTAATTACCCCCGTTTGATTTGCGTTATAACGCCTTAATTTCCATTAGTACGCATTATTCACCGTAAAAAAAGATCTGCATAAATTTTTCAAGATATATACTATTATATTATTGTATTATATACATTTACAGATGCAGTTTTACGGTTAGTAAAATTTAAAGTACTACATGGCATAAACAATCTAATTCAATGTACATTTGTAATTCTTATATATCATTTGCAACTTAACCTAAAATTGCAATACTTATGTATGTCGCCAGTATCTATCTATAATATAAAAATCAGTCGTCTACTTTATTAACTAGATTACAATATTTCGTAAGAAAATTAATCAAAACGCTAATTCGTACAGTTCCCTCGTTTTGTGTAATTATGTTGATCAGAACTGACCTAAGTTTAAGACTTTTTTTAAAATGTTCAGGTTGTATATCTTAAATTTATATTTACCTATATGTAATAGAAAGAGCACCGAAACACGAGGCTATCGGGCGTGGCCCCCGAGTATTAGTCAGATTGCCGACTGTTTTGGTGTTCTTTCTCTTTTGTATCACTTTCTCTTTTGTATCATAGTCAAACATAAAACACGTTCCTTGTTGTCACAATATGAAACCCCAGTAAAAAAGTAACCAATGAACGAGCATCTGAATATCATATTTCTGTCGCGTTTCCTTTGTCTGCCGTCACAATAAGTAAACTCCATCAAAAAATATGGAAAGCCATGGCTGTCTGATATTGTTCTTTTTCAATTTATTTAACCATTTGGATAATATATAAGTTCACTTCGACTATATATGACTTGAAAACACCTTCTTATGAAACCATACCGTCAGTGTATAAAACCGAGTTAGCAATATATAAGTTGATTTTCTCAATATATGATTCTAATTCTTCAATATATTGAGAAAATCAACTTATATATTGCTAACTCGGTTTCATACACTGACGGTATGGTTTCATATATTGTAACTGTGAATTAATATAATGGATTCTGGTTAAATAAGAAGGTGTTTTCAATTCATATATAGTCGAAGTAAACTCATATATTATCCAAATGGTTACATAAATTCAAAAAGAACAATATCAGACAGCCATGGCTTTCCATAAAAAATGAACCAATCAATGGGCGTGCTCAGAAGTGCGGGTAACTAATAGTAACCTGCACTCCAGTTAACGCACTGTGCATGTATATGTAAACGATTTAACTATGAAGCATTTTCAACAATAAGGTCCCCAAACTATGATACAAAAACAAATTTAAACCATGGATGCTTTTGAAAATAATATAGTTTTGATCTAAATGATAGGAAAACGCATACAATCTTATATAGTTTTATTTCGTTTTATTTTAGCAAACATTAATTGCTTATCATAGTTATAAAGGTTTTCTAGTTTTAAATCAAACTAGAACAAAATCTGTATAAAGTAGCATTACCAGTGCAATTTACCACCAACACCAAATTAAGTAATAGATATACCATTGCTGCGTTGACGATTTCTGGGTTTGCGTAAATTATACCATAATCACGTGACCTTTCTTATGCCTTGACCTCACGAGACGAAGTCGAGTGAGGTCGCATAAGAAAGGTCACGTGATTATGGTATAATTTACGCAAACCCAGAAATCGTCAACGCACCAATGGTGTATCTGTTTTAACCTATAGCTCCGCCCAGAAACACTTACTCCATAGCAGAAATGACGTAAAATGAGCTGTCAATCAAAATAACATGACGCTACTGTTTTAACCTATTGCTCCGCCCAGAAAATCTTATCCCTTTGATCTGAATTTGAAATGAGCTGTCAATCAAAATAATGGGCTGATTTTTCCCCCGCGTGGAAGCTACATTTTCATTGGTAGCGGCATGGACCCTTTTCTCTATTCAGTCATCTGTCTCATTTTAAAGTTTTACTTCAATTCACATGATTCGGCATGGCTTGGAATGACAATTTGTCGTTCACAGAAAAATTTAGAAGACATAATTTTGTCTCAACATCTGGACATTTATGAAGAAGATATGGCTTTATCTCAGTACCTTGATCAGGCTGAGACAGATCTGGGGATTGATACAGTTGGAGTGAATTTTCTTCTAACACAAAATGTAGAGGACTTTATCAACGAAATATCAATCAACATGGACGAAAGTGATCAAAGCAACATTTTGCTTTCTGAAAATCAAGACAAAAAATCCATGAATATACCGTTGCCAACGGCGTTAGAATGTTCTGAGACAAGCCGCTTTGATAGCCTTGAGGATTGTGACATACGTGAACGACTGGAGCAGTCTGTTCCAAAAAATACCAAAAAATCTACAAATTGGGCATTAAAAGCCTTCAACGAATGGCGTACGGTCAGAAATGCCGGCAAACTTAGCCAACAGGTACCGCCATTAGAGGATTTTAATGTAGACGATGTGAACAACCATCTCAGCCGTTTTCTCATGGAGGTACAGTTTGATTTATTCTAATTTTCATTATTTTTCTTGTAATTCAGTATTTTTGTATGATATTGTTAGCAATAGTTTTTATCATATCGGGATAAATACCATTTTTAGCTGTTTTCGATAATTTCCATTATTTCGCAAAAACAGCTTTGACAGATAAATGGCTAAATATAATGGGAAAAAAGATTGTCCTAAACCTTGTAAAAGCGTAGCATTTTAATTTGTGCCATGAATTTCATCTTTTTTCAATAGCATTGTCGTTATTATTGGAAATGAAATGGAAATTTCTTTTACAATTATGCAAACATAGGGAATTGAAAGTAATAGAAAAGTATATTTAAATCTAGAATTTTTCTGATTTGAGTTTTTTTTTGATAAATACATGCATGGCTATGTATGTCACAATGTTTAAAATCTCTGGACCGACAACCTCTATATCAATCGGCATACATACCAGCCTGTCCGATGTCGATGCCCAATTTAATAGTGTGTTGCCAATTTTGTTCGTGTATTAATTCTAAATTGTTACATTTTAATAGGTCAAGAAGCGGGATGGAAGTTTCTACCCATCTTATTGCTAGTGGAATCTTGAGATATCTTCGTGACTCCGGCATTCCAAATATGAATTATATGAACGAGAAGGACGATCGTTTCTTAACATTTCGTAAATGTCTAGATGCACAGATGAAGTATGTGACTAGCAAGGGCATCGGTGCCAATATCAAGCAGGCTGATCCTGTAAGTGCAGAACAGGAAGAATTGTTGTGGTGTACAGGAAAATTTGGATATGAAAATGCAGAAAGCCTGTTGAATGCAGTGTTCTTTTACAATTGTAAATTGTTTGGAATGCGAGGCAGAGACGAACATTACAATCTTGAAAGTGACCAGTTTATTATTTCCGAAGATGATGGCGGAAAGTTCATTCAGTTTATTGGTAGAGACAACAAAACTTTTAAAGGTGGTTTAAAACACAAAAAGGTGGAGAACAAAAACATTAAACACTATTCTTCTGATAAGATATACAAGGTGTATCAAGATTATACGAGTCTTTTAGGAGACGATGTGGTAAAATTTTATAAACGTCCAATTAAAGATACTAAAAGATTATCTGCTCAAGTTCTTGGTAAAAACAAACTTGAAAACATGATGAAAAATATTTGCAGTGGTCTCGAAGGCAATTTCACAAATCAGTCTGGAAAGCGCACGTGCGCAACAACTTTGTATCAAGCTGGCGTTTGCGAACAGACTATAATGGATCGTACAGGACACCGTAGTGTCCAAGGTGTTCGAAAATATAAACGACCCTCATGTGACCAGTTGAGAGATATTTCAAATGTACTTGATTCCAAGAAGCAAATGGTCTCATCAACAGTGACAAGCGGTGAACTTGAAAACAATTCTCTTGTGGATCTTGAAAAGCCTAAGAAATTAGAAATGGAGAGTCCTATTCAGAAAATCTTTGAAAAAGATGCTAAAACTTTTTACAATAATTGTGTATTTAACTTTGGTAAAAACTGACAATTTGATACATTGGTTTTACATTTTGGCATGTGTTTTCTGGCCAAAATGTCTCGATTTCTCAGCCTAATGAGATTTATTTTGTGACTGAAATAAAATTTCTGTACCTTGCTTCTTGTTTTGTGTTTTATTATATTTCAGGTTATATTGCTATGGTATAATTTTCAAAACTGAAAATTATACCATAGTCTGGGTATGGTATAATTTACGGTTATTGGAAATTATACTTGGAAGAATTTTACATAAGAAGCGCTGAAGAGCTATAGGTTAAGGTCTCGTTAATGGCCGATGCATTCGTCGTTCAAACCTCGTGACTCAATGTTGTGTATATTCATTATGTAACAATTTAAGAATTCTATCACGGTGCTGTTACAGATTTAGATCTGTCGGTGTCCACCACTGTTATCTTATAGTTTGACGTTTTCAATAATTCATTATAGAACTTGTAAAAATGTTCATTTTGTGCTTTTGTTAGCCAATTCTTCCTGTCTCCCACGTCACCGGTATAGAATTACAAAATATCAGTCTACGGAAGCTTCAAAGGGTCATCTATAACGCAATCTTTTGTGAGAAGATTTAAGCAAGTGGAATAAGTATGTCGACATCCATGCTACTTCTAGTCAACAAATATATTTATGTATGAAAGTCGGGGTGCCGTATCTCGACATGATGACATATATTTTGTCAAAATGACATGGTATATATAAACTTGTGTTCGTAATTTTGACAACTTGTGTGTTCTACAAGTCGAGGGAGACGACTTCATGTCTTCATAGCGAGGTACATACAAGCTTCTGTACTTTTTATCTTTTTTATTTTAGTTTCTCTATTCTTATTCCAGGTTCTGTTGCCGATCGCCAAAGAGCACCAAGACGGCGAGTAACTAGATTTGCACAAGATAATAGACTTAAAACATCACAAGACCTGTGGAGCGCATCGCTGCCGTTACCATTGGTATACATGGGAGGCCCATATCTGGTCAAACTTTGAGAAACCGTTTACGTGAACCTGGTATCAGGGCAAGACGTCAGTACGTTGGCTGCGTTTTGACGCCACGTCATCGAACTGCAAGACTGAACTGGTGCACACTTCATCGTAGGTGGACCAGACAACACTGGGCAAACGTTCTTTTCAGTGACGAATCGAGGTTTACGCTACATAGCAAAGATGATCGCATTAGGGTTTACAGACGTAATGGAGAACGTTGTTTGGATGCATGCGTTAATCCGGTCAACCATTTTCAAGCAAGCGTTATGGTGTGGGGTGGGATAACGTCTACGAGTAAATTGGATCTCGTTATCATTCGTGGAAACATGAATGCTCAAAGTTACATTAACAATGTCTTAAATCCCTTTGTCATCCCATTTATAAATCAACACAATGGCGTCAGTTTCCAACAAGATAACGCAAGACCTCACACGGCACGAATCATAACGCAACATTTGTAACAAAACAATATTAACGTGTTACCGTGGCCTGCATGTTCTCCGGATCTTTCACCCATAGAGCATTTAAAGGATGAGCTCGGACGTCGTGTACGTCAACGTCTAGTTGCGCCCAGAACACTCAAAGACCATGAGAATGCATTGCTTCAGGAATGGCAGAACATCCCCATTCCGACAATAACTCGTTACATACACTCCATACGCAGATGTATTGCAACAGTTGTTATACGCGTTATTGATTTGTTACTTTTGAAACATAGGTGTTCGGCGCGTTGAATGGTCACTACCCCCGGGTCCACCTCACCCACTCTACCTTCCTCTCAAAACCATGTAAAATGTAGCATTTTTCATTTGAAACATGTTTTAATATTTGGTATATGATTTTAATTCAAAATTCAATTACAAAATAAACAAGAAAGCACTGATGACTAGTGGACTATTTACTGACTGCGTCAAGGATTTTAATGCTAGAATGAAACGTGCTGGGCGCAGTGTTTTGTTATTGTTAGATAATGCTCCATCTCATCCTCATGACTTGAAACTATCAAATGTGAAACTTGTGTACCTTCCTGCCAACACTACATCAAAGCTTCAGCCTCTTGACCAGGGCATTATTCAAAACATGAAACAGATCTACAGGAAGAGATTGTTAAGATCAGTGCTTGCTAAAATTGACAATGGATCTACTGTGAGTGCTGATGAACTTTCTAAGAGTTTGACTGTCTTAGATGCCATTTAATGGACTAGTTGTGCGGTAAAAGAAATAAAGCCAGAGACTGTCACTAAGTGTTTTAAGGCCTGTGGACTGATTGTCGGTGAAAGTGTGGATGTGGAAGATGATGACTATGATGACAATGTGCCTATTGCGGAATTAGTAGAATTGATGAGAACCGCTCAGTCAAAAATATCTGTTGAATCTGTGATGACGCCAGAGGATTACATTAACATTGACAATGAATTGATAGCAAATGATGATATCAGTGAGAACTGGGAGAACGAGCTTATTGAAGCTCATAAATCTACAGGATCTATAGATGTAGATAACGATGACTGTACTGATGACTTAGAACCTGGAACTGAGTGTTTAATCAATTCCCACCAGGATGCCCTTAAGTGGATTGAACAGCTCAAGTTGTACTGTTTCAAAAAGGACTTAATGACTATGTTGCCACCATTTGACCAAGCACAAGAGGACTTTGAAAAACTGTCGGTTAATGTTATGTGTGGATCAAAACAGTCAACTTTGGATAGGTTTCTTGTAAAGTAAAAATTTAAAAAAAACCTGCAAAAAGAATATGATCGACTTGTGACAGCATCTGATAAACATGAGTTGGCTTGTGACATTATTAGAGAAACATCAAGAACAATCTAAATGCTAATGGCTATTTTAGTGCACTTAATTTATGTACATGTACATGTATGTTGCGATTTTCATAGTTAAATGTTTTATAAATAAATGAAGAATAAAAAACATTGCACATTATTTTATGAAAAATGATTGATTTATTGCAATAAAGTTATGTAAAATGAAAATTTTATTTACTTTATCAAATCCTGAAGTATTTCCCTCAAATGGGACAGGAAGTATATTTAACTTGTCGATCTACAATAAGGAAATAATTCAAACAAATAACCAGGCTATCATGCTAAAACTCACTAATCAGACCACCCCGCAATTAAGACCACTTTAGAGCAGTCCCATGGGTGGTCTTAATTGAGGGGTTTCACTGTACCTTCATTTCCCGCAAAAAAATATATATATATATATATATATTTAGTAAAGGTATGCAACTCGTCGCTCATTTTTCAACACTCATCTTAATATCAACTCCATAACTCAAACATTTTTTCACTAATTTTCAATATCTTGGTACCAAATGGTAGGGAATTGAACTCTTAAAAGAAATAAAGCTGTCATTACAATCATTTCAAGTTATAAGAAGATATGTAATCTCGAAGTCACCGCAAGCGTAACTCGACAGAGACCTGACCGCTGGGTTTTTGTCAAAATTACTCGACTAAACGGCAGTTTATTCGAAATGAATGAATATCTTTTTGCAT